CAGCAGGAAGGGCCATTCCCATTTTTATATAATCCAACACATGACCCTTGCCCCCCAACTTGCCGTAAAGTATGTAAAAGGGGATGGAGACAGGGTCCTTGCGTATCCATCTTTGTCCTAATCAAGCATGCCTCTCCTTGGAATGATGAGATTTGGGAAGCCACATGCATTCTGTTACAATCTAAGCATTTCTCATGGCTCTGATTTATACCTGCTCTCTGTGTTGCTAATGGTTTTGATCTTGCCCTTAGTCTGCTTGACAGTTGCCAAAATTAGCTAATAGAGTAAAACTAAACTTAAATTCTTATCCTTATACAACTAACCAAATAAACTCCAAATTAAGTAATGTGGTATTTAAAAATTAAAACATTCAAAAGAATAAAATATATAATCTATAATGAATTCTGGATTAGAAAGAACTATCTACCTTAGCATAAAAGCAGTTATAAGAAATTATAAAGGAAAAGTCTTTTAACTGCATAAAACTACATGTCCAAAAACACTGCAAATGAAGTTCAAAGGCAAATGACAAACTGGGTGAAATATCTGTAATAAATATAAAGGTTTAATATCCTAAAGATGCATTTATTTTTTAAAAACTCTTATCACTTTTTTAAAAAGCTAATATCCCAATTTTTAATTGGCAAATAATATGAATAATTATTTCTTGGAAATTGCCAAGATAACACAAAAAATACATGTGCTACAATAGAACATTTTAGGTATTTTATTTCACCACAGTCAGAATAACATGAATTTAAACAGAAATTGTCACCCATCAAATTGGAAAAATTAAAGGAAACTGAGCCATAAAAAATCACATTTTCAAACAATATTTAAAGATTTGAGGAAATTATAATAGGATGTCAGATAAAAATGCAGACTATTTAACTATATATAATCCAAATTTTGTGGAAAAAATAAACAGAAAATATATACAGGTGATTTTATTTTTTTCTCCTTTTTTATGTTTTTTAAATCTAATGTAATGGGCATTTTTTATAAACAAAAATTTTAATAGTATACCCCAAAATGAGACTCCATCTTAAGTGTATGACAAAAGGAAACTGGTGATTTTGATAAATTCATAACAGCTAGCAAATAGTTAACATTTTGGGGGTGCTTACTGGGAACCGAGCACTATTCTAGGTGCTTTATATATTTATCAACACATTTAATTCCCACATGAACTCTTGCGGTATTGCTATCCTCATTTTACAGAAGAAAACTGAGGCACAAGAAGAGAAAGAAGGTCCCACAGCTGGTAGGTAGAGCAGCTGATTCACACCCAAGCAGTCAGGCTCCAAAGCCCATATACTCTTCAACGCTGTACCATACTGCCTTCCCTGTCGAGCTACAAGATCAAATACTGCGCAACCAGGGAAATTAACGTTCTGGGAAAGTACTTCACAACAAGGAAAAATATTCACAACATAGTATGTGACAAAAGCAAACTGAAATCAATGTGTCAAGGTGTGTGTGTGCGTGTATACGAGAGAAACAGAGAATATAAAATAAAGCAAAAATTTGTCTGAAAAAGAAAGAATCATCCCAGCTCAGGAGCACAGTAATAAAGTTGGCCTCACTTGCTTTTCAAGTTTTTCAACCTCTAGAGCTCTGTATTTCCTTGGTAATAAAGAATAAAATCCCTCCTTCAGTCATGACACCACCATGAGCAGGATTTAGGAAGGTCTCCAGAGCTAGGTGCCCTCCTAGTAAGACACCCTCTCCCAAGCACAATATTGCTCACAGTAAGAAAAGGGCAGTCGCTTCATTTATTACATAAGTAACCAGGGAGAAAGTTTTATTTAAAAATAATAAAAGAGTAAAATTTTATTATTTTAACTTAATTCTCATTAAATTAGATAGTATCTAACTTACCATATTTGGGGGCACATTTAAAGTACTGGACTTTCCCAACACTTCCATTGTTTTTTCCTTCTGGTTCATCCAACTCAATGCCAGCCCACTGCCCACTTGCAAATTCAGTTGTTCCACAAAATCTTAATGTTCCAACCTAAAGAAAATATAAATCAGAGTAACTTTTGAGTATGACCAGTAATTCTAAGTTTCCCACTCTTGCAACTTTATCATGGAAGTCTTTCAAAAACATTCTCTCAGGGCTTCCCTGGTGGCACAGTGGTTGAGAGTCCTCCTGCCAGTGCAGGGGACACGGGTTCATGCCCCAGTCCAGGGAGATCCCACGTGCCGCGGAGCGGCTGGGCCCGTGAGCCATGGCCACTGAGCCTGCGCATCCGGAGCCTGTGCTCCGCAACAGGAGAGGCCACAACAGTGAGAGGCCCGCGAACCGCAAAAAAATAAAAAAATTTAAAAAAATTAAAAAATAAACATTCTCTCAAAGTAGACTTCAGAAGAAGGAAAATATTACCAGGGATAAAAAGAGACATAATGATAAAAGAGTCAATGGACCAAGAAGGCATAAGAATCCTAAATCTATATGTACCTAACAACTGAGCTCCAAGACATATGAAGTGAAAACTGATAGAACTAAAAAGAGAAATAGACAAATCTACAATCACAGTGAGACTTCAACACACCTCTCTCCATAATCAACAGGCCAAGAAGGCAGAAAACCAGTAAGGATACAGAAAAACTGAAACCTGAAACCAGCTATAAGCCAGTTTGACCTGATATTTATAAAATATTCCATCCAAAACAGCAATACAGGACTTCCCTGGTGGCGCAGTGGTTGAGAATCCACCTGCCAATGCAGGGGACATGGGTTCAAGCCCTGGTCCAGGAAGATCCCACATGCTGCAGAGCAACTAAGCCCATGCACCACAAATACTGAGCCTGCGCTCTAGAGCCCACGAGCCACAACTGCTGAGCCCATGTGCCACAACTACTGAATCCCACATGCCCAGAGCCCGTGCTCCGCAACAAGAGAAGCCACTGCAATGAGAAGGCCGCGCACCGCAACGGCCTTCCGCTCGCTCCGCAACCGCCCCCGCTTGCCGCAATTAGAGAAAGCCCATGCACAGCAACAAAGACACAATGCAGCCAAAAATAAATAAATAAAATAAATTTATTTTTTAAAAAAAGAGAAACACAGAGAACCAAACACACAAACTCTATCTATGCCTAGCACTCTAACCAAAAATTGACTCAGAATTAAATGTAAAACTAAATATAAAACCTAAAACTGTAAACATCTAGAAGAAAACATAGTAGAAAATTTCTCAGATATTCTCAACACACAATCCATAAAATAAAACTTTGATAAAATGAACTTCATGAGAATTTAAAACGCCTGCTCTTTGAAAGACAGTCCTAAGAGAATGAAAAGACAAGCAATAGACTGAGGGTAAATATAAATGAAACAAGACTGGCTGTGAGGTGACAAAGGTAAACGCTGCCGACTGATATACGCATGTTCGTTATGTGTTTCTACTCTTGTATAGCTTTAAATTACTCAAAATAAAAAGTAGTAAAATAAAACACAGAATAACTCTTCTCAAAGTCCATTCTCAGATGTAGGACAGGAATACTAAAGAAGCTGAATATTAATCCAAAGGGGGAAAAATGCTATGCGTTCATAATTTCTTGGTATTTTAGCTCCACAGACAGGACAACGGAAAACTAACAAATGTCCATGAATGTACTCTTGTGGAAGTTGGTAAATGTCATTCTCAGTGTAATAGTTTGTAACTTACCTTCCTTTTTGAAGCAACTTTCTTAGTAAATCAAATGTTCAAATTTCAGTGTTTTCTGAGAAAAGTGCATAACACTCCCCACAAACCCACCCAGATACTTAGCCGTAGCTATTTTAGAAATTCCACATGCAAGCGCCAATTCCCTGTCCCATTCTCCATACCAAGCTCCCAACTGGCCCCAAAAAGAGAAAAACAGCTCCCCCATATGAGGTCTTTAAAAACAGAGAAGGGCAACAAGTGAAAGCCACCTGGAAACTGAGGCTCTGGAAAAAGAGGTGTCCAGAGAATCTTCAGTCGGGTGGAGTTGGGAGTCCTCTTTCCCACATACATTTTCATTACCAGGTTGAAATCATATCTAAGATTTCCCTATTTGTGGGATCAAGAAGCCAAACACCCAGGAACAGTGAGGGTCACCTTTGCTCCGTTTCTATGCAGTAGTAGCTGTGGGAGAATCACTACTGAGGAGGGGTGCGAGCGGGGAGCTGCAAGGGAAAACCGGCAGGCTGGATGCCTCTAAATTCACTCGGCAGCTCCACTATGCTCCACTTTTCTCCCATTCCAATAAAGATGTCTTCGTTATTCAGTTTGAATAGTTTATATTCTTAAATTATGCTTTATTAGTAACCGTGCATCTAAGTTTCACGTTTTCCATTAAGTATCCTTCTACCTACATATGGAACTTAAAAAAAAACAAACTCAAAACCACACTGCACCCTTGGCACACAGGCCACATAATGATCGCTTTAGAGACTGCAGCTACTGACTATACCTTCTGTCTTGCAATAACGACACGATCCCCCAGCTTCAGGCCAAGTGACGTCAGCATCACCTTGCTAGTAACACGATCGTAACTTGGAAGCAAGGGCTTTGAGAGATCACATGACAGAGGCACCGCATCGAGCAGCATCTGCTTGATTTCTTTAGCAGTTGCCGCGGCATCGGCCATTTCTAAGGGCATTTCAACCGGGTCTGGGACAACGTCAGCGGGGATCTGTCCTTTGTCATTCTACAAATAAAGAGAAGAGAAATTTTTCAGTTCATATCTGCTCAGAGCTCTACACAGTCATATAAAAGTATTTTTGGAAAAAGTAAGTTAAATTCATCTATCATTTATTTATTCAAAAATATTTACTAAACTTCTACCACCTGCCAGACACCATTCTAAGTGCTAAAGGCACACAGTGAAGAAAACAAAAGCCCCGCCCTCAAAAAGCACACAGCCCGGTGACAGGCAGACTATAATCACACACACAAAACGTATGGTGTATCAAAGGGTAAAAAGTGGCAGAGAGAACAAAGCAGGTAAGGTGGACAGGGAACACGGGCACAGAGATGGCTATTCACACACAGGGGTCAGGGAGGGCCTCGCTGCTGAGAGGCACTGGTGCAGAGGCCCAGGGAGGTGAGGGAACACACGGCAGCTCAGCTGGTGGGGACCGAGGCCCAGGCTCAGGGAAGAGCAGGAAGGCGGTCAGTGGGAAGCGAGCCTGGCTGCACAGGCTGGAGACAGAAGTCACGGGACTGCCTGGCTTCCCAACCCCAGACCCGAGACTCCCTCCCCTCCCCCAGAGCTGCCACCTTGGCTCTGTGACCTCGACCCATCCCACCCACTCATGGAGTGACTCAGATTTTAAGAACAGAATCTATAGGTTTAATACTTCTAAAATCTGGGCTGGGATTTATCCTGCAGCAAGCAAAAATGGGCAGTCACAGGCCCACTAACACTTGCACAGTGTTTATATAAGCAAAATCCTATCATATAAATTATCTCATTTGGTTATCACAGCAAGAAAAAGCTTGTGAATAAAACAGATAAAAATTTTTACCTGTTAAGAGTTTGGAATGTGGCAGAAGACACCAACTAAACAAGTAAGATATCACTACCATTTCCAGTTTGCCAATTAGGAAAATTAGGCAAGGAGAGACGAATGACTCGCTCAGCATCATCTCCATAATTACTGCAGGGATGACACTGCAGTCCATGTCCAGCACCCACTGGACTCTCAGCCCTTCTGCTGCTCTGTGCTGTCCTAGCCTCAAACAAGTTCTCTTTCTTCTACGTTCCCTAACCAAAAACTCAGGCTTCATCAGAAAGATTCCAGACTGTAATCTTTTCTTAATAAGATGAACCAAGATTCTTTTGCTCAGAAACCTTTTTCCCTTTCCCTCTCCTCTAATAATTATCTTCAAATGATCCATACGGATAAAAGAATGAGGCTTCTAGAACACATTTAGTTTGCAAGTGCCTCACATCTTTTATTTTAAAATTCAAGTCAGTTTGGTCCTAAGTAAAAACATGGTAGGAAGACATATTATCAAATTTCTGGGACAGTGATGAACTATTTTGATCCCCGATTTCAAAGAAAAAGTACAAAATGTAATGAAAATACCTATAGCGCTAATCGTACTCTTGAGAAAAAGACAGAGGGAAAAAAACGTTTTTTTAATCAACAAACCTGTCATGATAAGTTGTAAATAAGCTATATTTACAATGAATATTTACTTCAGATTTTTAAGTCCTCACATTTCTAGAGTAAGTCACACACTTCTATCAATTCCTATATAAAATAAAACTTCTGTTTAAAAAATACTAAATAATAATAAAGTAACAATGATATCATGTTAACATAAGAAGGCTTGTTCATGATCAGTTACAGCATTCCATTTTCTTCTAAAGTAGTGGCTGTCACGGTCTGATCCAAGGGCTACTGCTGACCCACATGTTGACCGCTTTTTTTTCAAAGTATTAACCTCCAAAATTCGGTAATCTATTAATTCTTTGGGGCCTGAATTGGTAATTTACCTCAATGACACACTTCACTGCATCTTACTGGGTTCAAAATATTCTCTCCACTGATAGGGTCTTGTCAACAGCTGTACTAGCAAAAGCAAACACGAATCACCTTCACACTCCAGCCAAACTGAATTACCATCACCTAGCCTTTGTGCACGCTACTCTCTCTGCCTAACATGCCTTTCTCAGCTTCCTCCTGTACCTGGTTAATTCGTAACTACGTTTAAGCACTCAACATCACTTTTGCCAGGACACACTACAGTAAAACTGATTGCTCTCTTGTCTGTCCTCCCCTCTAGACAATATTCTCTTTGAGGACAGAGACGTATTTATTGTTGTATTCTCCCAGTGCCCAATAAACAAGAGGACCTGAAGGAAGGAGGGAGGGAAGGAGGAAGAAAGGGGCTGATTAAATAATTAATGGGGTTAAACAGAAAGAAAAGTGGCAAAGAAGTAGGGAGGGAAGGGAAAACAGGAAAGCAGAGAGGGAGCGAGGAAAAGAGGAAGGGAAGAGGCTTTTTCTAACATTGCCCACCCCTGCCCCTTCAAGAGAAGGCACAGACCCAATTAAGAATCCCTGCCAGAGCAAGTCTCTGCTATCAATATAACAGAAAAGAACACTGAGAGCCACTTTTGTGAAGACAACAAAATACCAAATGATTTGAAGATTATGAAATTCAATCCTGTGTGTTAACTCTGTAAATGTATAACATTACCCTGAAAAAATAAATTTTTCCTTTAAGTCGATTTTAAAGGTTTACTGCACTGTTAAATATGCATTTTTTAAATTGTCTGAAATAAAACTTCTATCCAAAAGAATTTAAAATATGATTTAATACAGAAATATAACTTATATAGGCGTTTTTATTTAACAGCTAAGGTTTTATAAATATACCAAAAGCTTAAATGAAAGATACTTTTAAACTCAAAGATGATGCTTTAAAGAGTATTTTACTTATCTGAATGAAGAAAGTAAGGTTTATAGAGCTTATCAATATAAAAGGACTGAAATTCACTGCTATGCCTTAAATTTATTTGAGATAAAAGTTTATCACCATTACTCTTTACATGCAGCACAAAAATATAAATTATTTACCTATATAAGAGTTCTACAACAACATCCAGATTCAACTCTTTCCTGGGAGATAATGTTAGATGTTTTTATTCTTTTAATATTTTTCACTTTTAATTTAACCTCTTACCCTAAATGCAGGATTTGCTCCATGCTCCAATAAGCATTTCACAGTACCTGCACACAAGTTATATGCAGCAATATGCAGAGCTGTTCCAAAATTAAAGTCACTGCAAGTGGCATCCACATCTGCAATTAAACGTCGCAAGCATATTAACAAAATTTTCAAATTAAGCTAGTATAATGTAAAAGGAGACAGGTTGGGTTTATTTGGGGGAGGAAGGGTATTAGCTATTTATGAGACTTAAACCAACCCACTAAAAGGACGATTCTCACAATGGAACAAACTCTTCATATTACAATCTACTTAACTAATTCTTTTCTTAGTACAGTAAAATTTCACTATCAAATGGACTGCTATTATCATGGGATTTCCAACCATCACAAACTAAATATATTTTAAAGCAATTAATGGCAATAATTCATATTTGTAAAAGTAACTATCTTAACACACTCTCTCATTAAACCTCTTGCATATTTGCCATGACAACTATGATGTAGTAGGGTTTAGGTCAGGGACTAGCAAACTGTGGCCATGGCCAAAACCAACTCACCATCTGTTTTTGTAAATAAAGTTTTATTAGAACACAGCCACATAGTCTCTATGGCTACTTTCACACCACAACTGCAGAATCAAGTAGTTGCAACAGAGATCATGTGGTCCACAAAACCTAAAATATTTACTATCTGCCCCTTCACGGAAAAAAACAGTAGGTAAAACAATGGAGAATTCTCAAGACAGGAATAAATTAAAGAGTAATTAAACATATGCATCATGCTTACATACTGTATTCATTCACAGTACTTTATTCAACAAATGAATTTGGACTTCACAATAAGAATGGGAATCTTGCAATTCTAAAAACATTTTAATAACTTTCAACAAATCATCACGATGCTATACAGGAAATACTCCAGATTTGGGGATCCCATTTTGACTGTTTTTTAGAATATGGGTTTAATATACCTCTGGTTCTGCCAATCCTACCTTAATCTAACTACAGCTCCACCATCCCACACCCTACCTACAATTGTAAACAAATTAAGACATGCTCAGGACACTCTCCTGAGCTATTAAAGACACTGTACTATCAAGAGAGGCTTTCTTCCTAACATCATTCAAAATGTGAAAAAGTAAAAAGGTAAAGAGGAGATGGACAATTATACAAAGCAGAGGTTAGAAACAGACATTCTGGGAAATTTATCTATGCCATCTCTAAAACAAGTCTTCTACAAATGGAGAAAACACTGCATACAACTTTTAACTTAAAGTAATACTACCGCACTTGCCCTCATTTTTTTCTCAAAAGAAAACTGACCCCCTGAGAGCACCCAGAGAGAATGTCTAAATACAGGACTGTGATTTAGACATTATGATGTTCAATTTTAGGATAGCATCATCAAGACAGGAAGAAAAAAAAAAATGAAAATCTATCCCTTAATGGAATCACAGAATTTCAGAACTGAATGCCACCTAAAATAAATATTCTTCATGATTTCAGTGTTTACCTCTGAACGTTTTATGGCTCTATTTCTGGCTACACAAGTAAGATAAAAGAAGTATACATAGATTCAATTACACTTCATAAAATCCATGTTATACTGGGGGACTTGAAGAGATATAAAAGGCCAGAGAACACTTTCTTTTGTTTCTCTTTGTACTAAGTCTTCTGTGAAAGGATAGTAACTAATCTTCAATAAAGAAAAGTTAAACTGTTTCTGAAAAATAAAATGGGATTGGAGGTCACATGGAACAAGATGGATCAGAAGTAAAAGTATCTCTGAATTATAATTTTTATGCCACTAATAAAGTATTCAATTAATAACATCTAATGGTGATCTTACAGTACTTGCCTTTTGGTTTAGACGTCTTCAAAATCACTCTTATAAGTTCAGGGACATCAAAATAAGCAGCATAATGCAAAGCATTCATATTTGTCCAGCGACTCCGCAAACTAACATCTGCTCCCAGATCAATAAGTTGAGTTGCAAATTTTACAGCTGTATCAACATCACCTAGAGAAGGTTTTCTAAATTATTTTTCTTCAGTACAAATTCCAGTGGATGGCCATCTACTACCTCATCTAAAAAGCCAGTGCAAACAGCGTACTGAATATACACTTACAACTCAAAAAATGTAACAAGGAATTTATTCTAGGAAAATAATCAAACCCAAGGGTAGATAAACACTTGGCTGTAAAGATGTTCATCACAGCACTTTTTATTATGAATAAAATTTTGAAACAACCTAAAAGTACAATAATAAGACACTGGTTAAATAAATTATGAGACATCCATATAATGCAATACTACAGAGCCATTAAAACCAGGGCTACACAGAGTGCACTCTGGGGACCACTGATGGTCCCAAACTGTAATTCATACTTTTTATAACTCTTTTCTTTTTCCCTATGTAATCATTTCTTCTGAATAAATTAACTGAAATATAATTTTATGCTTTTGAAAAATACTTGGGCTTGTATTTTATGTCTTTATCTCATTTTTCTATTACAAACTCATTTTTATTTTATTTTACAAAAGTATCACTCCATGATGGATTGCAGAAAGAAAAAAAAAAGTCCTTCACTATCAAGTTTAAGAAGCACTGTATCAGACCATTGAAACAGGGAGAGATGTTCACAGTATATAATTAAGTAAGAGGCAGGTGTAAAAAATAGTAAAGAACAGGCGAATACCAATTTTGGAAACTATGCACATATGTTATGTATGTAGGAACAGACCTTAGACAGACCTAAAGACCAGGTATGTAGGATTGGGACTGCCTGGAAAACGGAGCATGGGTTGTCAAACCTTGCCATAAACTCTCAAGAAGGTTCCAGGTGTTACCAGTTACACTCACCTAGCAAACAGGCTGGCATGAAGCCTGTTCCAGAAAAGTTGGGAGGTACCAGGAGATTATAAAGACTCCCTTGAGAAAATGGAGGAAAGGCAACAAGGTGTGTGGAAGACCTAACTGAATCCTCACCTATTCAGGGAATATTATCATCATCAGCCAGGTGCCCTCCCAGGGACTCTGGTTGGCATAAACACAGTTATACAAGCACAAATACAGATGTCTTAAGCCATTAACAGATTCACCACACACTTACCAATACCATGAGCTCCAGATTTGCAAGTATAATGTAAAAGAGTCATATCTGTCAATCCATCTCTGTCATTCACGTTGCAACCTCTCTTAAGAATCTGAGGAAACCAAGGAAGATATTATTACAACATAAAGTCCACTGATTTCAAACCAATGCTGGGAAACCAAGTTAGCCTATCTTATTAAATTAGTTCTCAGTAAAATGAGTAGACAGAACTAGCTTCTCTTAAGGATAAATTTTAAGTCTGTACCCTACAACAAAAATGAAAACTGAACTTGTCACCAGACGGAAGGAAATTCTTAAAGAGTATTCCAAAGTAATTTGGCACCCCAATATGTTCCTTAACCTCTCAAAGGACAAGCAAATTTCCTTTCTAATGGGAGTAATGGTATTTTAAAAAGTATAAGCTCCCTCTCCTTACAACATGACAGTATGCTGGTCAAGAAACCCAGCATTATTCTTTTATCCCTCTTCCAAAAAATCAAATATTTTTTAAAACTATATTTAAGCCTAGATCTTTATCAAGCCACTCCAAAGTATAGATAAATGTGACAGTAATCAAATCTCCTCATGAACGTATATTTTTAAATTTACAAAATCAACTTGTACAAGGAAAGAAGGCTCCCTCTGCTCCCACCAAGAGTCAGATGTCAGAACTCCAGATGCAAGGGAATAAGGAGCATGAGGGAATAATGGAAAGAACGTACTAACTCACTGCTCCATGAAAACCTATGAAGAACAAGCATCAGCATCTTTAAAAGGTTTCCCCTTTATCACCACCTTTCCATTCAGATGGGGGAAAAAAATCTATACAATTAACAATCCTAACAATGCAAGACTTAACAACATAAGAATTCCTTACCTCATTTCCAATAACGTCAATATTCTGCTGGACCTGAGGAACCCACTGTCTTAAAATGGCAAATAATTCTGATACAGAAGTTTTGGGATCGAAGAGAATTTCCTGGCATGATGTATCATTAGGATCAAAGAAAGAAAACTCTGTTTGAAATATAAAAGGTGTAAGTTAAATTTATTAAAATTTCAAAATAAATATATTGAAAATAATAAACAAGACCAGGACTCAAATGACACAAAGTATTTTTAGGTGCAGAAAAAGCAGATTTACCTAAAGCAATTCTCAAAACCAAAGTCAGGATCACCAAAAATTATGAGGCATTTCTGAACTGCTATGAGAATGAGACTTCCATGCATCACACCACATCTTATCACAAATGAAACAAAAATCTGAGCGCACTGATCTTAAACGCTGAACCTTCCAAGAACTTCTAAAGCACAGAAAATCTGCCAAATTTTATAGGTATTTTCACCTCTCAAAACATAAACATGTCATGAACAGTAGATCCACATCCATGATTAAAACATACATAATAGGGGCTTCCCTGGTGGCGCAGTGGTTGAGAGTCCGCCTGCCGATGCAGGGGACATGGGTTTGTGCCCCGGTCCGGGAAGATCCCACATGCCGTGGAGCGGCTGGGCCCGTGAGCCATGGCCGCTGGGCCTGCGCGTCCGGAGCCTGTGCTCCGCAACGGGAGAGGCCACGACAGTGAGAGGCCCACGTACCGCAAAAAAAAAAACAAAAAAAAAAACATACATAATAGAAAGAAATATGCCAAAATCTCAACAGTGTACTAGAACAATGTGTAATTTTAAGTATTCTTTTTACTTCTCTGTTTTCCTTATTTTCTATAATAAACAGGCATTACTTTGAAGCCTTGGGACAGAGTGATTAGGTTATTTTGGAGTATGTATTAGTAAAGAAAGACATGGAATACTAGACACAACTGAACATGATTTTAAAATCTTTTAAAACTTCCTTAAGATTCAGAGAGAACAGATCATCCTATGGCTAGAGAATAAAAGAGAATAGAAGAAAATCAGATTCTACTATCTTGAACAATCTATAAGAAGGTAGGGAATCTAAAAAACCAGAAGCATCTATAGAAGAGAAGCATTAGAGAAGTAATATTTGCTGAGTGCTTACAATTTACCAAACACCTTACAAATCTTCCCAGACACCTTACCTGACAGGTATCATTATTCTCATTTTTCAGATAAGGAAACCAAAGCTCAGACTAAATAATACTTGCTCAAACTCACACAGCTAGTAAGCGGCAGATTTGGGGTAGAAAATCAGGTCTGCCTCCAAAGTCTATCTTCTTTCCTCTATTATGCTGTCTCCCCAAGAGAATTCACTAGTGAGCTCAGATTTTAACAGCATACGTGAGTAGCAGGATTTGTGTGGGTTTTTTATTTTCTTCTTTGTGTTTTTATTTATTTTCCAAAATTATACTATGTACACACAGCTCTTACTTTTAGAATCAGGGTAACTGAACGATGAAAGGAGAAGCACAAAACCAAGGACATGTATAAAAGTAGAGCAGGCCGGGCTTCCCTGGTGGCGCAGTGGTTGAGAGTCCGCCTGCCGATGCAGGGGACGCGGGTTCGTGCCCCGGTCCGGGAGGACCCCACATGCCGCAGAGCAGCTGGGCCCGTGAGCCATGGCCGCTGAGCCTGAGCGTCCGGAGCCCGTGCTCCGCAACGGGAGAGGCCACAACAGTGAGAGGCCCGCGTACAACAACAAAAACAAAAAGTAGAGCAGTCCATCAGAAGAGAATCAGAAAGACTAACTAAGAGCATATACTATTCAAAATCTCAGAGGACAAAATGGTCCTCTACAAACAGAAGAGTATCAATATGCAACACAGATACCAATTTCTCAAAGATTTGGGTGTGTTTCCTATAAACAGCAGTTTACTGGAATTTTTTTCTTTTGGTCTAATTGATTCAGCCATTCAATAAATATTTATGGATCAGTGACTTTTCTAGGCATTGGGCATTTCTAGTAGAGAAATTCCTAAATATATACCTAAACAGACTCTTCTGCATGTGTCTACAGGAGACATGTACAGGAATGCTTATTCTAGCACTGGTTATAATAGCAAAATAACTGGGAAACTGAAACATCTCTCCATAGAGGATGTACAGAAAGTGGTATATCCATAGGATGGATTCGATGCTTTCTTACAACTAAATAAATGAATTCGATATCTACATTATGAATTGATAAGGATAGGTCTCAAAAAAACATACTGATCAATAAAGTAAGTTGAAGAATAATATACAACACCTATCATTTCCATAAAATTACAAATACACAAAACAATCCTATATACTGTTTATGGATGCTCACATATGTAGTAAATGTAGAATTAAATGGCCTGCAATATTCACACTAAATATAAGATGGTGGTTGCCTCTGGGGAGCAAGGAAAATGGAACCAGAAAGGAAAATGGAGGGAATTTCAACTTTAAGGTTTTCATTCTTATAATTGAAAAATAGGAGCTAAAGGAAATAAGATACTATGCTAATAATTATTCTTTCTGATGGTGGATATGTGTGACACATGTTTGCTATCACTATATTTTCTGCATTTTTAAATGACTTCCCATTTTTTAAAAATGAAACACAATGGGAAAAGAACATAATAACAATAAAAGTGCCAATAAATGTGTAAGGCTTATTTAAAGAAAACTGAAGTGGTGGGTGACTTAAATGGAGAGACACATCATGTTCCTGGACTGGAAGATAAAATATTTAAGGCTGTCAATTTTCCCAACAACAATTACTTTAAATAATTTCAATTCTAATCAATCAAAATTTCACCAAGATTTATTTGTGGGAGGAGACAGACAAAATCATTCTACTGCTCATCTGTGCCAGAGCTTCTCAAACATTAACGTAGATAGGAATCACCTAGGGATCTTGTTACAATGTAGATTCCAATCCAGTAAGTCTCAGGTGGGGGCAGGGACTGCATTCTAACAAGCTCCCAGTGATGCCAATGCTACTAGACTAAGTACCACATGATGAGAAGCAAATATCTAGACAGTAAATGTAAGAGAAATAAGCAAGAACATTTTAACTAAGAAGAATAATGACCAGAGTAGGGGGTAGGGGACACTAGCCTAATAAATACTAAAGCATATAATAACGCTTCTGTAATTATATACTGAGATAATGAGAAACAGCAGACAGCTCATTTATATACTAATGATAATATGTTATAAAGCGTCTAATAGGTGCCAGGGACTGTTCTATGCACTTTACATATATTACCTAATTTAATCTTCATGACAGCCATATGAGGTAGGTACTTTTTTTTTTTTGATGTAGGTACTATTATTGTTCTCATTTTATCAAAGAAGAAACAAAGGAATAGAGAAAGTAAGCCATCTGCCCAAGATCACACAACTGTTACGTGTGTGACCCTGTTGAGTCAGGACTGACCTATAATCCAAACTCACCTATAATCTTAAACTCTATGCTATACTACATATTAACGAATCTAACTACACCCAAATTTTAAGCTTCCACACAGAAAAAAAAAAAAAAAGTTTTAATCAAAAGAAAGGAGGTGAAGGGTAGATGGGGAGGATACCCCACCAGGTCAAGATGGAATAACAGGGACCATATTTGTTCTTATATCTGAAACCACCAAAAAACAATAACAACAAAGGAAAGAGATGAAATGAGGTTTCCAAGACACTGGACATCAGTTAATGAAAGACACAATCCCTAAGAGACAGTATACAAACAAGTGAGTCTTACAACTGCCCCCATGTCTCTGCCCTGGGACTTTCCAGATTTCAGCAGGGAGAGAGGGAAACCAAGAAAAAGCCCAGCAGACTCCTTGAGTTGTGGAGACAAAGCTGAGAGCCCAAGGAAATAAGGCAGCTAGAGTTCACAGGGCAGTGTATCAGACAGGTGAGAGATGCAAAGCAAGAGAACCCCAAAGATCTGAAGAGAGTCCCCCTTGAGTATTTAATATGTGCTTGTGAGGAAAAACCTGAGGTAAGGGAAAGAACCATCCAAAAGAATTAGAGGGATTAGTGCCCAGTGATCATATGGAGCCTAGAACTGTGCTAGTTCCCGCTAAAAAGAGTGAGAAAAAAAATTCATCAGGCTTTGGGTAGACTACTCAGTAGTGAGGAGTAATTAGCCCCAGATTAGCATTGCTCCAGAACCACCTAACAAATCATAAAGGCAAGATCTGAAAAGGTCAAACAATTTCCAAGTAATTTCACTGCATCCCAGAAGAAAGCTCAAGAATATTTACAGAAACAGAAAAATATCCAGCACCCAACAGGTAAAATTCACAACGTCTGGCATCCAATCAAAGACTACCAGGCCTGCAAAGGGAAAAACGTGACCCATAATCAGGGGAACAGTCGATCAAAACAGATCTAGAGTTGACACAAATATTATAATTAACAGAAAAGGACATTAAAACAGCCATTATAACTGTATTCCAAATGTTCAAAAGGTTAAACAGACCCAAATCAAACTTTAGTGATGAAAACTACATCTGAGATGAAAACTACACTGGATGAGATCATCAGCTGATTAGACACTGCAGAAGAAATGATTAATGAACCTGAAGACAGGGCAACAGAAATTACCCAAAATGAAATACAAAGAGAAAAAGAGTTTTTGAAATATGAAAAAAAGGCATCAGTGAGCTGTTGGAAAACTTCAAGTGGTCTAATATTTGTGTAACTGGAGTGTCTGAAAAGGAGGAGGGGCAGAAAAAGTATTTGAAGAAATAATGATTATCCAAACTTGATGAAAATTGAAACCTACAGACCCAAGAAGCTTAACAGTCCCCAAGCATAAGACCATAAAGAAAATTACACCAGGGCACATCACAGTAAAATTATTCAAAACCTATGATAAACAGAAAATCTTAAAAGCAGCCAGGAAAAAAAGATCATTACATACAGAGAAACAAAAATGACAGCAGATTTCCCATCAAGACAAGCGGGAACACAGTGAAGCAACATCTTTAAGCACTGAAAGAAAAAACTATCAACCCAGAATTCTATACCTAACAAATATATTTTTCAAAAGAGATGATGACATAAAGATGTTTTCAGACATATAAAAGCTGAAAGGATTCCTCACCAGCAGATATGCACTGCAAGAAACAAAGGAACGTTAAAGGAAGCCCTTCAGGCAGAAGGAATGTGGTATCAGATGAAAATCTGGTCTGCACAAAGGAATGAATAACACTAGAAATGGTAACTATGTGGGTAAATAAGATTTTTTGTTATTATTATTGCTTAAATCTCTTTAAGAGATAACTTCACTGTTTATGTAAAACTAATAACAATACACTTGGGGATTTTTAATACATGTAATGTGTGTTCTGTGTAAACTGACTCTGAAGACATTCAGAGCAAAAGAGTCCAAAAATCTTTGTAGTCTTGCAGGGTAACCACCTTGAGGGTTGACACTGAGCTGAATGTCTAAGCTCTGGTTTGTGTGGGTTGGTTTCTTTTTCTTTGTTCCTTGATTTTAATCTCTGTCTCAGTCTCACATTCAATGGCTCCCATTACATTTAGGATAAAATACAAATTCCCTACCAATGATCCTGCCTGGTCTGGCCCCCGCCTTCCTCTCCAACTTCATCTCCTGCCATTCTGCCCTTCAACCACTTTGCTTCTCAGCCTCAAAGGCCTTCCATTATTTCTTAGGACACACCAAAGTTTTTTGCCCAACTCTGTGCCTTTGATTTCCTACCCTTCTGCCTGGAACACTTCTCTCCAGGCTCTCCTCTCAACCAGCTGCCTCTATTCTCCGGATGACCAGCCCATCTAAAACAGCCTCTCTGCTCCATTACCCTCTACCACAGCACCCTGTTGCTTTTCTCCACAGAATTCATTATAATCTATAATATTTATGATTTGTTTCTTCATTTGTTTGTTTATTGTCTGTTTTCCCTCCTAGAATGTCGGTCTTGGTCACCATGCTATCCCCAGCATCTAGGACAGTACCTAGCACAATACTTACTCAATAAATACAACCCTGGATGCCACATTTTAAGGGGACACTGACTGACTACAGCATACTAAGAAGAAAACAACTAGAGTGAAAAGGGTCTAGAAATCCTGACAATGAGAGACTGGTGAAGGAACCAGAAATGTGTAGTCTAAAGAAGTACAGACTAATTTAAAGTGTCCAAATTATCTTCAAATATTTGAAGCTCATCATATAAAGAAGTGTTTGTTCTACATATCAAACCAGTTATAGCCAAAGTTCCAAGGAGACATACTTTGAGTCCATATACAAAAACAATTTTATCACAACTAAAACTTTAACAATGAAATGGACTATTTCATTAGTTTCCCACTATTGACAATATCCAAGTAGCTGAATGGTTATCTATCAGAGAACCTGAAAACATAATTTCTATACTGGGAAGTGAGTAGGG